ATGTGTAAAGCAAAACTGTACAAAGATATCACCAAGATGAATATTTTAAGAGCAGAAAGGGAAAACAAACTTGAATTTTGATCCTTGCACACCCCTCTCCTGAGGCTCCTTTCTGTTATGAGTTCCATGTAGCCCCAAAAATCCATGTACATTCTGCAGCTTGACTCTGGAAGTCTTGAAATTCCTGCAAGGCCTTGCAGTTCAATTAACTAATTCTACTCTATGTGCACCGGAACAGCGAATGACACGTGGTCACTACCTCTCAGAATATGCTTCAATGCTTTACAGTCGTGGAATGCCAACTCCAAAATGGAAGACAGTGCAAAGTCAAGCAGCCATAGTAATTAGTGCCTCTACTTCATCATAAAATCCCCTCCTTGCACAGTAAAGAGAACTAGAGGAATTGAGCACTACCATTTAAAATGGATTTATTTTTAGGCGATATCCCAAATAGTTTCACAAATATAGAATATTTCTTTCCTTATGTTTTTAAGCATTTAAATGAGCAGCTGCAAGAGAGAATGTGCATTTGAAATATATTGTGGTGATGGAGGTCCCAGAAGGATAGTTGAAATTCAGGCACCAGGCCAATTTAGTGAACTTGAGACAGAGGAAGAACTGTTCTTTTGCCTGTCAGACACAGATGAACAGCAGAACTAGCAATCATGCTCAGCGTACAGCAGTCTGTTATGCTGAGGCTGTATTGCCAAGAAGATTTAACAAACCAATTAGGATTTTTTGGTAGGGAGGAAGGATGCTCCAGCATTCTTCCATTCTCTCCCCACCATGGGCCTAGCACTGATGCAACCCTTCCATATCAGTCTACACCACGGGAGGGCAATAATTTTTTTTACCAGGAGCTACTTCAGACATTTTTTAAGTGGTCCCGTGCTGCCCCAGAAGGGGCGGGGACTCAGGCAGAAGACGCGAAGCCAGGACACTTCCGTGCCTCCCTACTCACAGACCCTGATTGGTCTGGAGGTGGGGGAGCATGCAAAGTCTCCCCCCCATCCAGCCCAGAGAACTGCCAGCTGATCTGAACCCATGCCCCTGGCGGTGGGAGGACACTTCATGGGCGCCATCTTGCTGCCCCCAGGTCAATGCTGGCCTGGGGAGGGGGAGCAAGTGAAGTCTCTTGCAGCAGCTGGCAGTTGACTTTAAGTGCTGAGCCCCTTGCAGGGCAGGAAGAGACTTTGCATGCTCCACCTGGCCCGAAGCCCTGATTGGGGTAGGGGAGGGGGAGCACGCAAAGTCTCCTCCCACCTTGCGAGGGGTGCAGTGCTTCTAAGCACCGCATGCTCCTTGCAGGATAGGGGTAGGGTGGAGGACACTTTGTGTGCTTCCCCCATCCCTAATTGGCCTGGGAGCAGGGGAGCGGCAGGGCCTCCATGGGTCGGATCCAGTCTGTGGAGGCCCTTTTGCCCACCCCTGGTCTATACAAAACCAGAGCACATTATCGATCTCCAGATACACACTCACCAATATGCAATCCACAGGGGATACACTGTATTTATGGTTCATCTGCACAGCGTGGTCTAATCCATGTCAAATCCCCACCCTTTAGGACTAGTTCTAGCATTTCAACTCTCTGAACAGCTCTAAAGAGTCACCATATTTTTAAATATACCTAAAAGAATAATTACTTTTTTTACAGCAATAGACCACATCCAAAGCTGAAGAGCTTCCTGATAGAGTGGAGATGACTTGCTCCACCATCTGTGGTGTTTTGTGGATCCCTGAAGAGAGGAAAGTAGCGCTGTGCATGCCAGACAGATGGCTCTGAGTTCCAGAACAGTTACACAGAGATGAGCTTCTTGCTGAGCACACATGTCCAAAGCCTGTAGGTGCTCCAAGCACTCATCCTTGAGCAGAGCCTTGGTTAGCAGAGGGGAGAAGGGTATTCCTTTACACACCTGTAATGGGTCATTCCTCCAGTTTAATGAGGACATGCCAAGGCTTATCAGTTAACTGTGCAAGCGACTACATGCTAACGTCTCTAATGCACATGAGAAGGACACGTGGCACAAACTGTTTGAAGGAACAGAGGGATGGCTGGTGCTATTTGCCCCTTATGCCCTTGGTTAAGGAATGGGAGCAAGAGGATCTAAGGTAATGGTGTTGCTGCAATGGACCCTGCTGGCAAGAAGAGCCCAATGTCATTCACGTACCCAGCACCTGTGCAAACCAGAACTGGGATCCATGTGGACAATTACGCAAAGAGGAGACATTTTCATCTTCTGTCCAAGTATGGACTTCACTCCCCATTCCTCCCCGCTTGGTGTTCAAGGCTTCAGCTACAATACCTTGTAATCCAGCATACCATGAAACTTGAATTTTATACCACTGGACACAGGAGATTCACAACTTTCAAAACATACAGAGGTGTATGGCTATTAAGGATGTTAAGTATCAGGTAACTAACTAATCAAATAGTAAATGCATTTTTGCACTGACTATTGGATTAGTCGATAGGGCGCATCCATCTTTGAAGTGGAGCAACAACCCTAGGGCTGTTGCTACACTTCAAAGGCAAAAGCGCCGAAGCCCGGGGTCAGCTCCCGTTTTGAAATGCTGCGAGGCACCTGACGTTGGGTTCCCCGCGGCATTCAAAGCAGCAGCACTGCACAGAGCATCTGATCTCGGCTCTGTGCAGCGCTGCCGCTTTGAAGTACCCCTTCGTCTCTTCTCTTCTGCGGGGGGAGGTGGGGGGGAAGTGACTAGTTAACCATCTTCTTGACTATCCGATAAGCATTTGCTTATCAACTAGTCTTTCACATCCCTAATGGCTATGTACATGCTTATAAGAAATGTATCTGAATCCTTAACATGAAACTGCCAACCTCATCACAAAAATATCTTCCCTGCTTTTCAATCATCTATTCAAGTAACTTTTATAACTGATACATTTCACATTTATTTCAAGCTATACAACCTTCACAACAAATCATTACTAAACCATTACCTAACAGACAATATTAAGATGGTATTTTCCCTTGGGCATCTGCCTATAGCAAAATTATTCTGAAGAACCGGGCCTATCTTTTAAGTTGCTATGCTGGCAGTGCTGGTCCAATTAGTTGAATGCACACACAGGTCCTGGAAAGTCCACCAAAACCTGAGAAATGATCAGTTTCCCTGCTTTGCTGCAGCCTAGAAACTGTTATACTTCCCACCTGTGTGCTCTAAGTAATACATATTAAAAGGTAAAGAAGAGGAAGAAAGAGATAAACCTACCTACTCTATACGTGTGACATGTGTCTTCCAAGCACCCTGCATGTTGAAAGACATGTTATTTTTCTGTTGTTTCTGGCTATGCTCCACCTGCCTCTACCAAATTAACCTAAGCACAATTTGCACTGTGGTAATTAAAACTATGTTTGTGTTGTTTGTCCCAACACACCCTGCACCAACTCAGCTACTCGTCAACAATGTGCACATCCTCTGGCTGATACTGACCACTAGTACTAAAGATTTTCTGCTAGGAAGGAGGGTCAAAGCAATGCAAGGAACCTTGGGGAATAGCTACAAGTAGAAGGAAGAAGAATAGGTATGGAAATCCTAGAGACACTCCCAAAACTAAGTATTTTTCCCAGACTACATAGTTATACGGTACTAAGACTTTGCTATAGTGTTGTAACAAATTGATTCAGAAAGCTACTTACATCTCCCAATCTTGGATCAGAATAACTTTCTCGGTTAAATGCTCCCCAACATTTTAATAAATAACTGTCTGAGTAAAACAAACAGCTCCACACAAACCAGTGCTTCAACATACTTTAGAAAAAACGTTATCTTTCAGAAATACTATATGCTAAATGTCCTGAATTAAAGGCTCAAGTCATTCAGCATATTATGAATGTGGAGGTTTTTCTGTTTGCCCTTTGGGGTCACAAATATTGTAGATAGCTACATATCACTGAAATGTCTGTTTGTAGTACCTTGTCAATGTCAACTGTGGAGCCCCTTTTGACTCAAGCAGACAGACTTTTTGGAGGTGGGGGGTCAAGATGGGAGGGGAAAGGGCAGGCCCAGCCAACCAGTGTGTGGGGCCCAAGGCAGCGTGGCTGAGCTGCACGGCCAGGAAGGCAGGGCCGGGAGCAGGGCAATGCAAGGCTCTAGGCAACTGCCTCACTTGCCTTGACCAAGGGCCGGGCTTGGGAAGGAGCCATGATTGGGAATAAATTGGAGGATTTTTTTGGTTGGGGAAAGTTGGTTTGTTTGTTTGTTTAAACCTCACACTACAGTCATCACTTTTAAAAGATTTAGAATAGAAAAACGTTGTACAAGTTGAACCTCTCTAGTCCGGCACTCTCTGTTCCGGCAACATCCATGGTTCAGCATGATTTTCGTTAGCTGGATGTCCACTTATCATGGCCAAGTTTCCCGTGGTCCCTTAAAGCTACCAGTCCTGTCTCTCAGTTTTCTGTGTTGTTATTTTGCACTAATTATCCCTGAATATCTTCTAAGAGCCTAGTAAGCAGTGGAAGTGTTGGTAATGCTGCTAGACAATATTGACCTCCTGGGGTCCAGCAAATTCTCTGGTTTGGCACAGTCAGGTCCCAAGGATGCTGGACTAGAGAGGTGCAACCTGTATAAACACTCTAAATACTCAGGAAAAAAAATTCCCTGAAGCCCTTTTGGGTTGGTTCTATACTATAGTGACTGAGCTCCCCCGCACAGTGCATACTGGGCCATCTCATACAGAGGCAGATGTTCTGTAACTTTAGGGAAACTGAGAGGCTAAAATTGATTAAATGCCCAATGCCATCTTAAACTTGCTATGCAGGATATTCAGAAAAAAGAAAAACTTAATATTTGCAGGTCACCTTGAACTGCACTATAGCGCTTATATTATTTTGGTGTGGGTTATTGTTATTTAAACTTAGCTTTGGAATTTAATTTCTTGAATCAGTGTGTCTTCTAGGGATTAAAAATAAGATCAGAAGTCTGTTGCAAAGAAATGATAGACAAGGATTTAAAGAAAAAGACATAATACTTGCCCAAGAAAACAATCTGTGTCATTCATCCATTGGTTTATGAACTGTGCTGTGATGGGCTCAGGGTTGTGTGGAAATCTGATGTTCTCTAACGTGTGCAGAAGTAGCTCAGGATTGTAGTAAAGGGCAGCTATGGCCACCTGAAGACACATGGTACGAAGCTCACTCGTTTTAACTCCTCGAGTCAGTCGCTCTAGCACAGCTTCTACAAACAGTGGTATACACTGGGGACATATAGGGCGGGAGGGGAGGATTAAATGTTAAAAATACTACCAGGTTGCATGACAATTTAAAAGCATTTATCACTTTCAAAAGACAAAGAATCAATGGGAATTCTGCTATTGTGCAGCACATAACAGTATAGTATATTCATTTTCCAATATAAAAACAAGAGTGTACCTTTAGCTTAAGACTATCTGCATGCTTCTAAAGCTTTCTAAAACAATTATCCCTTAGACTTAACATAATAGATAGTATCAACACAAAGGTAAATATTTTGGGGAAATTTGGTAGGATTTGTTTCAGTGTGTATAAAAGAGCTCAAATATTTTCTTGTCCTGAGCTAAATAAAAAACATCTTAGACATATACATAACCCTCAGTAAGTAGTATGTATTCTGTCAAATTGTAACAAAGTATGGTGAAAAACTTCTTACAGAAGTCTGCAAAGAGTATGGCCATTCAGATATTTGTATTGTGCAGATCTGTATGTCTAGATTATAAAATAAACAGTTCCCAAGTACAGAAAAAGTATCAAGAAAGTATCAGTTCACAAGTTTCAGAAAGTACAGGCATATCCCAAGTATATATTTGGGAATGTGTTTGAATATTTGAGCATGGGATAAGAGTTTTATTTCAATGTGCAATCTTTTCACTAACACAGATGTGGTGATTTTCATATTAATTTCACTGAAAATGTATGTCATTTGATTCCATCCCTTTCAGATTTCTCATAAAAAAAAAAAGATTTCCTGGCAAAATTTTCTCTTCAATTATTCCAGATTTAAATGAGTGGAATTTTACTGATTGCAATTAACTCCAGATTATGCAGCAAACGTAAAGGGCCAGGAACAAATGGACACAATCTATTCTTGCAATGCAGGGTTGTGGCTTTACACAGAAATAGCAAAGAAGAATTTAGTCCTTAATATGAAAAACACTAATCCAGATAGTGGTTAAAAATATATACACAAAGATGCAGGAAATTTGTAGTTATGATATTCACAGCAACCATAATCCAGTCACATTGCAAATATTTATTCATACATTTTACTGCATTCCTAGCAATTCAAAATACAGCACTAATTAAAAAAAAAAAAAAGAGTTCAGACTGCTGTGGGAAACAACTCCAGTAGTTTGACTTGCATGATAAAATTCTAAATCATAGCAATTTCAATTCAAAACAAGCAATGCTATGTGGAGAAAATGTAGGAAACAGAAAAAGAATATACCCCAAGGTAGCAGTCTTTTATAGTTCAGATTTAATCCTATTCTCTTGCTTTTTCAAGATGTCATATATCCTTTAATCTCCTCCACGAGAAACAAATCCCGAAATCTCTTGAACTCATTTACATCCTTTGCACAGTTTGCACTGGAGGACAATTCCATTTAGAACATTTCATTTCCTAAATTTGTTCCTTAAGTCTACATTTTTCATCTACTCAACTCTTACGAATCTGATTGCATTTATATAAAAGTATATACACAGCATCAAATCTATAAAAAGCAAAAAGCTGTTTGTAATACATTACCTGGTCAATACCCCGCCCTTTGCACTGAAGAACAATTACTTCTAAAAGTTTGGCTGCGTGACGCTCTGCATCTTCTCCTGCATCTCCAGTTAATACCTAACATCAAGAATGATAATTCAGCCCAATAACATAGTACGCAATGGAAGCACTCACACGCAATAAAAGACAGACATCGCAAGTGCACATGTATGCAGAGATATACATTAAAACAAACAATGCTGAAGGGACATAAGACTGGAGAATTCAAACTGTGACCTTCATGAAAAATCTGTATAATTCTTTACAAATATTAACATTTTTCCTTGACATTGTTTCAGTGCTTGCCGTTTTCCTCAAGAAAATGGCAAGCACTGAAACAATCATTTTAAAAGTTATGAGTATCCTTGATAATTGGTATTTTCTGCCATGTGATTTCAGTTTTGGTGAATAATGGCACATTAACAGCTCGGTAATGTGAAGTCCTGTTTTCCACATAACAGATACAACACAAGCAACAACATGGCAAGTTTCTTTCACAATGCTCTATCCACATGCTTTATGGATGAAAGGGGGAATTAAATTTCCATGTCCATTTAATCTGTGGCCTCTGATAAGGATATCAGTTACAATTATGGAAGTGGTTTCTGTGATGCACCCACAGGGAACTGAACTAAGGCTTATTTCACCTTGATCAATCAACAACCACCAACTGGCAAGCATTGGTCACTCTTGTTTTGAATATTTAATGTTCAAACATCGTGAATGTGGACTATGACAAGGAGCATAAGTCTTACCTTTTTACACATAGTGTAAATGATTTCTAAATGTTTTGGATTAGACAGTAAAGTATCAGTGTCAATGGTCACATAATTGTGCATGAGAGGCATCATATCTAAAAAAAAAAAAATATTTTATATAAAAGCAACACCCCCAAAATTTTAACAATTAAGGCCCTGGCCCTGCAATGGGATCTACTAGCTTGGATCCCTAAGCATGACAGCAATCCTAAACATTCTGCATACATCTACCTGTGCTAACAGTTACCTTTGCAAGATGGGGTTTTAAAATGTAGATAGAGAAAAAGAATTAGAAAAGACATAACTACATTTTAGCTAATGAATTGATAGTTTCCTCATTTTAGGAATTTCCTTTGAGTTCTGGACCCACTACAATGTATAAAATTGACAAATTTGATGGAATGTCTCCAAGCAAATAACAGTGGTATTAGCACTCACCATGTTCACAACAAAACCGAAGCACACGTGTCCTTTTGACTAATACAGACTAAAAGAAAGTAACTCTGTAAGATAACTTTTTGAAGCTGCATCTGCAAATAGTTATAATACCCTACAGTTTGGGAATAGTCATACCTGCAAAATATTCAAAGCAATCCTGCTGGAAAACTTCATATAGAACACCTAGAAGCTGCCACATTTGGGGGGAAATCATCTGGCAGGTCAAACTGTATGCCAAGGAGAGAATTTCTTCATAAAACTCTGAAGAGAAGAAAATTTGAGGTAGGGGTCTGTAAAAGAGAAGTTTTGCTTGCAAATACCATAATCTCTCAAACATAGGCCTCAGGCCATATAGCAATGAGCAGAGAGCTTTTTGGGAAAGTAAAAAGTGTACAAGTTTTGCTTGATAATGATGAATGTTTTTAATACAGGGAACTGCTAGAAGTGTAAATGTAAACAAAAACCACTTCCCTTTACTTTCAAATCAAGTTAACATTTTATAGGGAACAAAGATTGATGCTTTTCAGTGCTCCAACACACAGAAGCTAATGTAATTTACTACTGCAGTTTTAGTGACATGGAAATAGGAGATGAAAACAAAAACTGATCTTCCTTTAGTTCTGAGAGAAAGTGGCCTGAGATGA